ACCCTGATTGCTCTTCGAGCAGATGAGGGGGGGGGGACTTGATCGGGGGAGGGGGAGGGAAATGGGAAGCGGTTGTGGGGACGAGGCAGAAATCCTTAATAAATAAATAAATTAAAAAAAAAAAAGAAACTGCCTAAAAAAAAAAAGAATTTTCTTCAAAATTAAAAAGATACATTTTTATTTTACGTGTATGAATGTTTTGCCTGGGTGCATAAATGTGCGTCACACACGTGCCTGCTATCTACAGAGGCCAGACCCCCTGAAAGAGGAGTTAGACAATTGGAATCGTTCACGTCGGTGATGGGGAACCAGGCCCTCTGCAAGAGCAGCACACGCTCTTAACTGCTGAGTCATCTCTCCAGACCCTTGAAGGATTTTTATCTGTAGATAAAATGTTGAGGTTGTTTATGAGGTGCTTTGTTTAGATTTATGAAGAGAGAGGAGCAGTGATACAGTTGAACTCAGGGCCATAAACATCCTGACCTTGGGTGAGTACAGTTCAGTGATACCATCTTAGTCTTGAGGATAAACCCTCTCTCTGATCTTTTTGATTTTTAGGTTGTGTTGAAGTTTCTGGTAAGGCAGGTTCTGAAGTGGGAGGCTGCTTTCTTTCCTTCCTTCTTTATTCCTTTTTCTTTCTTTTCTTTTCTTTTTTTTTTTTTCAAGACGGTTTCTCTGTGTAGCTTTGGATCCTGTCCTGGAACTCACTCCTACAGACCAGGCTGGCCTTGAACTCACAGAGATCCCCCTGCCTCTGCTGGGATTAAGGCGTGTGCCACCACTGCTCTGCGGGAGGGTGCTTTCTATTCCCATGCCCCTTTCATTTCTCCTGATATTCTATTCTGTCTTTATTTGATAGCTTTCTAGTTGAAGCTTTTATTACTTAAAATATTATTTTATGTATATGGATGTTTCCCCTGCATGTATGTCTGTGTACCACATGAGGTTCTGGTGCCCAAAGATGGCATTTGGATTCTCTACCCTGCAACTGGAGTTCAAGAAGGTTATGAGCCACCATGTTGACCCCAGGAATCAAATCCTGGGAGAGCAGACAGTGCTCTTGATCACTGAGCCATTTATCCTGCCCCTTCTAGTTACTTTAAAAATTGATACTTGGAAATCATCTTTTCTTTGTAACCACGGTGAGACCTTTTCCCTTATAAGGTACTATAATGGATACATATAATGGATACATGTCTGTGGTGTAGAGGTTTTTTTTTTTTTTTTTTTTTTTTGCTTTTAAATATATTTCTTTGAACATTAAAACAAGACACTTGCTTTATTTGTCCCTGGGCTATTGGTAGATACTGTGCCAGGGGCTCCATCTATGAGAGTATATGTATGCTGGTGTGCCTGTGTGTGTTGGGGTGGGTTAAAGGATAACCACAGGTTTTAGCCTGTACCTTCCAATTTGAGTTGTGGCCTTTTGCTTTTCCTCCTGCATACACTTGGCTAGCTGGCCAGTGAGCTTCTGGAATAATCGTCTCTCTCCATGTGCCATCTCCCTGCAGGAAAGCTGGGATCATAGACACATGCTACCAGCTTCTGCCTTTTATGTGGGTTCTGAGATTTGAACTCAGGTCTTTATGCTTCTGAGGCAAGCTCTTTGCCCATTGAGCCATCTCCGCAACTGAAGCTAGATGTTTTAAGGTAAAAAGTAGTAAAGCACTCTCTGAATGACAGCTGTTTGCCATTGTGACTTTTTTCCCCCTTTTTCTGAAAGGGTCTCACTAAGGAGACTTAGCTAGCCTGGAACTAATAGAGATCCTCCTGCCTTTGCCTCCCAACTCTGGGATTAAAGGCATGTACGACCACATTCAGCCCCATGTCAACATTCTTAATAAAAACCAAACCTATCAATGCTGATTTTAGGAAAACAGGGTGAAATAGTCTATGTTTTAGACTTTGGACTGCCTGTGTGTTTTACTCATTACAGGTGACTGGCTGACCTTATAGAAGGATTTGATGATAGTAGAAATAATCTTCATTATTGTTTTTTGAGTCAGAGTCTTAGTAGAAACAATCTTTTAATTATTTCATAAAATTATAAAAAGATAATTACAGTAAAAGTTATTGTTAACTCCAATGTTATGTGAATATAGGTTTTTGTTAGTACTAGTAGGTTATTGAAAATAATCTTTTGCAAATTTTGGTATAGGAAAGTTAAATTGAAAGATTAAAATTAGTTACGTAGGAGAGCCACACTTTCGGAAGAACAAACCCCACGCTTAATTGGCTGAATGAATGAACACCTAATGCTGAGACATTCTCATTGACTTACATGTCCCACCCCACAGTTGTCTTGATGATGTGTGGTTTCCTTTGTGAGGTCATGAATGACATTATCAGCAAGACAAATAGTGATACTACCCCAAGTCAACCAGCCACCACACTCATATCCGATGGACCATCAGGCTTCTGTCTACATGGGGTAGGCATGTGCATTGTTTTGGATCTGTCCCAAGTTGATCAAACTAACCGTCTGATAGTGGGCTGTCCCAGAACCTCCATCCATGATTTCTCTTGTTGAGACAGGCATCCAGGTGAACAGTTGTCTCAGCACTTTAAATAGTGTAAGGCTGTGGCAAATGGGTGTCTGCTCTTGTGTGGTTTCAACATTTAAAGACGATAAGGTTTAGCCTAAGGGTAACTGAATGTTTGACTTCCATAGTGAGCACACACAGGATCTTCCACAGTTTGAACAAAAGTGGATGGTTATGTAGGGGAAGTGTTGGTGGTGGCAGAGGTGGAGATGCAGCTCCACATTGTTCAAAAACAGCCTGCAGAGTTCCCGTAGATTTTTAGGGATCCTGACTCAAGTCAACACAAGATTCCTGGCTTTGGCCAGAAAAGAATTTTAGTCCTAGTCTGTGTGAAATAGAGTTGGAGTTGATTAAAACTAGAAAAGTACTCAGGGAAGGAACACCCAAGAGCCTGGATGTGAGCTTCTCAAAGAATAATTAGTTTATTACAAGACATTTTTACAGATTTTTAAGCACAGAGGTCAAGGGAGAGAAGCTCAGGGAACAGATAAAAAACACCCAGGTGTGGATATGAGGCCCTTAAGGAGTCTCTTGTCATTAACCCTATTTTGGTGACTCTCAACTTATATCTCAAAAGACTGCTAAGAAACCTGATTGTCTCCTCCCTCTCCCCGTTCTCTCTCTCTCCCTCTCCTGAGAAGTGAGATTGTAGAGGGCTCTAGAGGTTTCTTGGACAGGATTACAGTCCACAGGTGAAACCAAAGGAACGATGCTAGGAAGTTAGGGCATGTAACTGTAAGTGGTTTTGGAGAGATTGCTGGAAAGTTGCACATTTACAGCTAGGGAAGGATGCTTTAAGCAAATGCTGATTGAGCTGGAATCTTGATTCTCTGCTGCTGAGGGGCTTCAGCTATTCCCAGGGGAGGGCTCCTTTTCTTTCCTGTGTCCCCTGGGTCTTTCCTGTCTTTCTAACTTGCAGCAACAAAGATAGTAAAGAAGAGACCTTCAATGTCAGGGCATTTATAGTTAATATATTAATGTATTTACTATTTTTATTAATATTTCTTAGATAAGAATGTTAATAATAGCAATAAAAAAGCCATGTTGGAATCTTGTCATTTGTAAAGGAGAAAGGAATGAAAAAATGTAAGAAATGCCAACTTCTATTTTAGTGTATAATTTATAGTATTCCCAAATGAGTTCTCTGTAGAATCTAGTTACCAACTCTACTGAAATTCTTTAATTTAGGAGAGTAGAACAGATATTTTACATCCAATATGGGACCCAACATATTTACATTGAACTTTTTTTTCTATTCTAAGTTAAAACTACCTTTAATCTTAGCAAGCTCTTGACTTGCTCCATATCAGTAGAGCGTAAGTGAGTTGTTCAGACAGGTCTGGCCACCACCCGTCCTGGAAAATAGGGTAATGGCTGGCTTCCTTGTAAGAGGTGGGTGTGCCAGTTGCCTTAGTGGAGGGAAAGGTTTAGGTGGGTCAAATTATTTGCTCCTAAGTTAAAAAATAAATAAAGGTGCTCACAGAGTGTGATTCTTCTATGTTTAACAGAGTAAAAGTAGATCAGAAGACTTTGGTGGGATTCTTATTTCTTGTAATGTTTTTGGCATCCAAAGGAGTCTGAAAAAATTTTAAATCTTAAAGAACAGAACTTTTTTCTTTCTTCCTTCCTTTCTTTCTTTCCTTTTTTTTTTTAAAGTCCCAATCAATCCAGTCATTGAAAACCAGGAAAAAGAAAGAAAGCTCACACACAATACAGCACTTTATTTGGCAATACACTGTGAACACAAAGGAGTCTTCTCTTTGACATTGCCACCATGTCGCTGGATAGAAAAACCTTTCTCTATCCCCCACCCCCTTTCCTTGTCTTTTTTTAAAGCTCCTCCAACAAAAGGGGTTACAGGAGGTTAAGTTAGCGTTTTGTTAGAAGAACAGGGCCTGGTGTCTGCTGACCACCTATCTGTAAAATATCCACCGGTCCAGTGACGGAGGTCTCAGCACATTGGCTTTTGGCTTCCGGAAGGATTTCATTAAGAAGGGAAAACTCCAGAAAGTCGTTTCAGAGTTTAAATTGAACCCTGAAGCAGGCCTGAGGTCTTTTGTCCCGTAGAGTGACCCAGGACTTCCACCAGTTTCCCGTGTGGAGTGGATTAGCAGTGGAACAAATTCGCAAGTACAGCTTGTAGTTTTGTCAACTCCACAATGACATTTCTTTTCACAGCTCTCTTGACTTTATACTGTTTAAATACCCTGAGTTGTCTCTTAATTTGCATTTCTTTCTTTAATGCCCGTCAGCTCTGAATGTAATGTTTACATAATCAATTTCCTCGTCCTGGTTTCTTGGATTATTGCTTTTGAATCGTGGTATACCCATTGGCATGTTAGGAGTCTTCTAATGTCTTCGTGTCTACCTTAATATAGCTTCATGATCTGTACAGTGTCTTATTAAGATTATTATACAATGAAATTAACTTATTTTCTTTCTTTTTTTTCTTTGTAGGCTGAACAATGGCATTTCAAAAGGCAGTGAAAGGGACTGTTCTTGTGGGCGGAGGAGCTCTGGCCACTGTTTTGGGACTCTCTCAGTTTGCTCATTACAGAAGGAAGCAAGTGAGTAAGCGCATGAACTGGTGGGGAAGCGTGAGCAGCTGTGTGTGCTCACGGCTGCCTGTAAGAATTACTCTTAAAGTTCCTCAGTTTAAAGTGACCCTCAGAATACTGCCTTGTGATGCCCATGAACTTTGAATGCCCCGTGTTTTCTCAAAAGCCTCTGTCTTGGCTCTTTGCTTTTTAAAAACTGCTTCATTGATTTGTGCCAGGGTTTGTTCATTTAGACTTTTACTTTGTTCAGTTCATTGAGATGCTTGGGTGCTTATTTGCTCCTGCCAAGTTTGTCCTATTAGAAGGCAGGAGACTGGGAAAAGAAGTAGAAAAGCATTATATTCCTCTGTCTCTCTCTGTCTCTCTCTCTGTCTCTCTCTCTGTCTCTGTCTTTCTGTCTCTCTCTCTCTCCCTCTCTGACATGCTTTCACTGTGAAGCTCTGGCTGTCCTGGAACTGTATTGGTCAGGCTGATCTCAAACTCACAGAGATCCACCTGCCTCTGCTTCCAGAGTGCTGGGATTAAAGGCATCTGTCACAGTGCCTTTATATTTCTTAAAGGTTCAGTTACTTACATAAGAAGGACATCATCTTATGTAAGGAGTGGAGATCAGTGTGGGACACTCCAACTGTGGGATTAATGTGAACATTCTGAAGACTGTTCAGTTCCCTTTTATTTTTTTCTTTGTACCACAGCCATGCCTTTGTACAGTTAAGGTTGAGAGCTGGAAATGATCTCATTGCAGGGTTTGTTTTCTTCGTTTTGATCTGTTTCTCTTCTCCTGTGTCATTTGGGCCAACAGTCCTGCTTCAGGAGGAGAGCAGGAGGGAGAGCTTATTGACAAGGCCAGCTTGCTGTAAACGCCTCGCCATGCCTGTGGTTACCTTTAAGCCACATGCTTCTCTACACATTCTTGTTCTTTGTTTCTTTGTGTTAGAAGGTGATAAAGCCAGGCATACTGCTTGGAGGTTTCTATCCTGAATCAGAAATACCACCTCAAAAACACATATTAAGAAGAATTAACGTATTCCTTCACAGTTGCCTTATCCTTACCATGAATAAGCGCCTCACATTTTTTTTTTTTTCCCAGACAGACAATGTCTTACTCTTTAGGCTGGCAGGTCTGGAACTCAGACAGCTCATGCTTTGTGCTTCACAATCCTCAGCACTCAGGAGGCAGAGGTGGGTAGGTCTCTGAAAGTTCAAGACCAGCCTGCTCCAGTAGTGAGTTCCTAGACAGTGAGGGCTATGTAGTGAGACTCTGTCTTGAAAGAAAAAAAGGAAGGAAGGAAGGAAGGAAGGAAGGAAGGAAGGGAAATGTAATTAGGCAGGGATTACAGGTCTGAACCACTGTGCCTGCCCAGGCCCCCAAACTCATTTATTTATTTATTTATTTATTTATTTATTTATTTATTTATTGCATTTCTTCTTAAAGCAGAGAGGTATTGGAGAGAATGTGTCACCCTCTATTTTCTTTCTGAGCCATGGGCACTGGACGCTAGGGCTTCCTAGGGTGTGTGTGGTGCCCATATTAGCTGTCATGGTGTTGAGTCTCTTCCTTGTCTGTTGATCGTGCTTGATATGTTTTCTTTGAAAAAGTTGCTTTGGTTTCTCAAGAGCAAGTGTGAAAGATGCTGCTCTGCAGAGGCTATTTCAGAAGCCTGGGACTTGGGCATCAGGGATTAGATTACTCCCCTCATCTTCCCCCTACTCCCAGGTTATCTGAACCGAAACTGGGAAATGCCAGTGCCAAAGGTCATGATATCTAATAGGTGTTGCTAAATTCGAATGTGGCTTATGTCTTTTTTAACCATAGTAAACCTGTTTTATTCTGAAGTTTAAGGTTTAATGTTATCCCGAAATATTAGCTATTCCATCTTTTGTAAATTTGTTTTTTTTTTTTTTAACTGATCACACAGAATAAATTTGTAGTAGTGTTCCTGAACAGCTGAGTCAGGGCTGGACTTTAGAGAATGAGAGCATAGCAAGGGCCTGCTGTTCTCTAGAGTGTTTGTCACTGTAGCCCCTCACGTTAGGCAGCCTGACTGTCCTAAGAGCCCAGGGAAATGGGGACCAGCTGCTTGAAGTCATTTATCATTTTAAACTGACTGCTTCTGTTGGAAAAACAAACAAACATAGCAAAAACCCCGCCACAGGCCTACCTCAGTCAGTGACCTGCATAGGAAAAACCCCGCCACAGGCCTACTGCAGTCAGTGACCTGCATAGGAAACTTGGATTTCATATACTGCATTTTCAGGGATTCCTGGCCCTTTAAAGACACTACCTTGACCCTAAATTGGAGATGGTTGGGGAAAGATAGACAAACAAACTCCTGAGAGAGGGAACAGTTTATTTTAGTGGCTTGACTTGAAATGGCCACAGGCCACCTGTAATAGAGTTCTCTTCTCCCTCAAAGTGTGCCAGTCAGAGCCATTGGATGTGTGGGGGGATGGTGACTGACTTCAAGAGGAAAGAAAGAAACAGAATCATCTGCCCCTTGAGCCTTGTGTGTTGGCTACATTTTTGTAAGGCTTTTAGATGTGCTCGTTTTCCTGCGGTCTGTTGTAGGAAGTACTGCCTCATTAAACCGGTCTGTTGTAGGAAGTACTGCCTCATTGGACAGGTGTGTTCACCTGCTGTCTCCATTCCCCGCCTTTGCCCAGGCCTAATTTTCTAAGATGGTTCAGACTGGAAAGTAGCTGCCTTTTAAGTATAAACCGAAGGCTGGGTGTGGTGAAGCTCACCTTTAATCCCAGCACTTGGGAGGCTGAAGTAGGTGGATCTCTGTGAGTTCGAGTCCAGCTTGGTCTCCATAGTAAATTCCAGGACAGCTAGAGCTGCGTGGTGAGACCCTGTCTGGGCGGTGGGGGAGGGGGGTGTTAGTTGGTGTTGGAAAAACACGACATAGTGATATCCTAGGGTACCATCCATTATACTTTAGGTCAACCCATTTGGCCTCATCACTGAATTCTGTCTCCCTGGTCCTGGCTTGTGTATGCACCTCGGCCATTCCCAGCATAGAGCTTTTGTCTCAAAATACAGGCAAAGTATTGAGTGAAATACAAAGGGGTAGACTCTGAAAAGTTGGTAAATCGTTAAAATGTGCTTGGTGTTATCTGTGTGGGTTTAGGTTCTGGCCATCTCACAAAGCCTTTTTTAATTAGTTAAATTAGCTTGTATTTGCATGGACAAATAAGAGGAAAATGGCTGTTTAGATTTTAGAAAGCTTCTCAAAGGGAAAACAGTGAGACTGAACAAGATTCGGTTTTATTTGTCTTTAAGTCAATTACTTGTCTCAGGAAGTGGCTGTCTAGAAGACAGGTAAAGTGTGAGGTGGTGGTAGTGACTGACTTCACAGAAGGCCCGCCTTTTTTACATTTATTTGTTTTTGTGTGTATTTATGCACATAAGTGTACAAGCATGCGCCATTACACAAATGTGGATATCGTAGGACATCCTGTGGGTGTCAGTTTTCTCCTTCCTGAGACCGCTGGCTGAGCCATCTCATCGGCGCTAAGGTGCTTCTTATTGCAGGTGTATGCTAGTATTTAGCTTACCTTTGCCAGTGATAGTATTCGCTCAAGTGAAAGTTAGGAAATAGCTCATCTACTTTTTGAGGCAAACAGGTCAGCTTTAGGAGTGACGGTGGAACGCGAGGCTCTTCACATTTAGGAACAAGACTGTAACTCTCAGTAGAAGTGTTGGGTCTTTTGGAGCTGGCAGAGCCTGTATCTTTAGTTGCTTTTAGAAAAAGGAGATGAATGTTGGCTGATTTATTTTGATCTGCTGGCCTAAAGGGAAGGGGCTTATGGCAAAAGAATCCACATTCTCAGCCCCCTTCCCTCTTCTCTATTCTGCTTTTAGAAGTCTTTGAGGGGCCTTTTCATTTTCCTTTCTTTCTGTTTCTTCATCTTGCTACCCCCTTATTTTTCATTGTTGGGGATCAGACATGCTAGGCTCATGCTCCACCAAGGAAGCTACATCTCCAGCTGCCTACCACTATCTTAAATCATACTGACTATGTAGTGAGACACAAGACAGCTCCCTTAGGCAGTAAGGGTGGGTCTGTGTGAATCAGGACCTACTCATCATGACCCTTCCCCTGACAGAATTATCTCTCCAAGTAAGCATAAAAAAAGCCTGCATAAAGTATGTGGATTGCTCCCTGGTTCAGCCAGCTGTGTGCTCAAAAATAACAATTCTCAATAAAGATGGCCTCAGTCTCCTTCTAGTTCTCCCTATAAGTCCCTCAAAAGACCACAGGCAGTGACTGGAGAGATGGCTCAGAAGTTAAGAGCACTTGCTGTTCTTCTACAAGACCTGGGTTCGATTCCTGGCATCTTTGTCAGCGTTGCAGGATCTGATGCCTCTGGTCTTTGTAGGCACCTGCTCTCTAGTGCGTATAAGTAATATGTAAGATACACGCATTCACATAACTAATAATAGTCATAGAAGACCACGGGGCCAGGGAGTGCATCCTCCCTTCTCTGCTTTCTTTTTCAATGCAGAAGATCTGTCTAAGGCCTCACACAAGCTAGGCAGGCACTCACTCTCCCACTGAACTGTCCCCTCGGCCTCTATTTTACTTTCCGTTTTGAAATAGCTTCTCATTAAATTGCTTTAAAATATCTTCTCATTAAATTGCTTAAGCCAACCTTGATCTTGCTCTATCCTCTTAGGCTGATGGTAGTGTCCATTTGGCTAATCTTTATTTAAATTTGCCCCCTCTCTCATTTTTAAACTTATTCTTCATTGTTGTTGGTGTGCTCGGGATTAAGCCCAGAGCCTCCCACGTGCCAGGTAAACAATTGTACCTCTACATTCTGTTGGTGTGTGATTTGTCGAGAACAAGTCGATGCTGATTCATTATTTAGTCCAAGTGGGTTTAATGATAAACTTTTAGTTGAAAGGGCCTTAGATGACTTTCTTATGCGGTCCAACAGTGGAGTCAAAGGAAGTGGCCTTTTCTGGGAGAGCCTCGACTTTCTAGCCCTAAGCAGCTTACAGA